TACACACAAGAATATTGCTGTAACTCAGTATGAGAAGAGAGCTGCCTTAAGGAAAAATTAGCTCAAACAGAAGGCAGAAAAATACAGAGTGGGTGTAACTGTAGATACATGGAATATGATTTGGCCCTGACATAGTTAGTATGAAGTCCCCCTCCATCAGGGTATTTTTAATACAAGAATATACTGTCCAAAAAAACTACCTCTGGACTTAAGCTTCTGTCAAATCTCTAGATCAGTGACTCTCTGCCAGGATACTGGGGTACTCTTGGGTGCCTTGAGATCCTTTCAAGGATGATTTAGGGTGCCACACAATGTTAGCACTGTTAGGAATGCAAACATCATTCGCAAGATAAACTCAGAGATTTTAAACAGGAATCTATAATGTTAAAAATGTTCAGACCTGCTGTGATCTTTCTCAGTTCTTTGCAACAACTAAAGGATTATCCTATTATTTTTCTATAGTCAAAGATAAAGTGAAAACTAAGAGCTGGCATTTTCCAAGGGGTGTCTTGGTTTGAAAAGGTTAAGAACAACTGCTCTGAATGAAGTCTGGAAGTCACATCCACTTAAAATTTATTTTCTTAAATCTGAAAACTTTTTAAGTTTCTTCCAAAAAGGAAACTAAGTTGGGAAACATGCAGCACCTTTTAATTTTCCCTGCTGAGGGTCAGAAAACTTCCTTGCTGCTTTCAGTTTTTACCAGTGACTTGATTTCAAAATCCCAGGGTATTTTCCTTGTCCTTCTAATTTTCCAGTTGGGTTTTGGAGCATCTTACCTAGAGTCTTACAAAAGATCATACATAAATGTCTTCAGTTACACCCCTGCAGTAGACCTGACTATTTAGCTATCAGTCTTACTGCTGTTCATATAATCTATCCAGTATTACCTACAACACGAACACTGGCAGTACGTGCTTTCCTAGCCCTGATCTGGAGATACTACACCTATGTAATCTATGTAGAATTAAGAAAGAGCATGAACAGTTTATGAACAGCAGTATAAAATACAGCTGCCTGTAGTAGCAGGGGACTAGACTCAATACAATGCTGCTTTTTAGCTAGCTAAACTGGCCTGTAGAGGCCTCTCCCACATAAGAGAAATAACTGCATGGTATAAAGTCATTGTAGCAGTTCCCACTTCAGCCCTCAGCACAGGGAGCAGGGCCAGAGTATCCCTTAACCATGGCAATGCCCAAGAGCTGAAACTTCCTTGTAGGGCTTCTGGGAGTCCGTACAAATTGGAACACCTGTCAAGATGCTCTAATTTGTGCTGGGAACTGGCCCAGGAACAGGGAAGCAAAAACATTACAGACTTTCTGTTGAACAAAAGAAGCATTTGTATATATAAATACTAGTGGCTGGACAAGTCCAATGCTTCTTTGTGCAGCTTGGGTGTACCAGTATACTTAGTCTCATTGAACTTCAGCAGCTTTGTCAGAAATCTTTGGAGGTTAATAAAAACCAGCAAAGGGAAACAATTGTAGTCTTTGATTCAAGCATTAAGCTGGCACTCAGAATTTATGTTTAGTTCCTAGTTCTACCATACTGACTTCCCACATCATCTTGAAGAGGTAATTGAATATCTCTGTCTCAGGTCTCCATCCATGATATGTATACGATAATAAGTCCTGCCTTTATGTTGTTGATGTAGACTGCAAGCTCTTCAGACCAGAAACAGGGACTCAGTATCTACTTGAAGAACTATGGGGGTCCTGATCTTGGCTGGGTCTTCTAGGAGCTACTGTAATAATCCAAAAAATAAAGTAATATCTCTAGGAGCAGTTTTGACTCCAAATATATCAAGCTTTTTAAGGTAACCTCAGAATAGATCAAAAGGCAACGTTTGCCGAGCCAGATTTCAATCCCACTCTCTGAAGTGTACCTTTATGTTGCAAGGAACAAAGTAGCATTTTGAGCTCCCAAATGGGACTCCTGCATTTATAAATACATACTTTGAGCAACAGCAGTATGTGTATTTTTGTGAGTGTCTTTGTCTTCTCTCCTCTTCCATAACCACCTACCTTCACAGTGGTTAGATACTAAGGACTAAATGGCACACCTGAACTGGGGCAATGTAGAGTTACATCACTCTCATCCTAAATCTCTTAGTCTCACCCAGTTGCATAGTCTTATCCTAAGCTTCCTAATAGGTGAAGAATGGCAGAGAAATACTCTGCACCACGCTAATGTTGAACAATGGTGACCTTTGGGGCACTCAGGAGTAATTTCTGATCCCCATTCCTACTTCAGCTGCAGGAATGGAGACTGATTCCTTGTGCCTTCCTCTGGATGTACTTATCAAGGGTCACTATCTTGGCCTACCAGTGCCAAGTGCCTTGGAAATACCTAAGATAGATTAATAGTCATGAAAGAGACACAAATGGCTTCCAGAGGGAAAACACACTGCTTTTTGAATGAGCTATCCTCTGTTTATTGCCCATCCCATAGGTATCCAGTAAGAATTACAGGGTCTCTTTCTTACTCCCAGGAAACACAACATAGTACAAAAGACTAAAATACTGGAACCAGCCCATTGCACTAAGTCCTCTTTTCAGTCACAGGCTGAGTATATGTACTGTTCCCATCTCCAGGGGAAACGGCCTACTACCTAGAGATATTTTAGCAAACATCATGGGAGCTGAGAAAGGCCACTGCAAACATATTCAGCATGGCAGTGCCATCAGGCATCTTGACATTTGATTCACAACAGGGAAAAGGGCAATTCTTTGTTCAAAAAGGAATACTCACGCCTAAAAAATGAGGGAGTTCATTGTTAATGAGCTCTTTTAATTCAGATTTCTTCAGCTTGTGTTTGTCTCCCTCTTTTCCTGAATACTGGTGGAAAGCTTCAATGATGGCAATCATGGCCTTTTCCAGATCAGACATTTTAACTGTGTGACCTTCCTAAAGATAAAGGAGGGGGAAAACGTTAGTTTACACCTGTTTTAAAAAATTCTTTCCTGCTTTCTGAATGCAGCAATAAACCCCTTGACAGTGCTAGTCAGTGATGATATGATGCAAAGCTCACTGAAGTCAGTTTCCAAGATGCCAACAGATGTGACTGGACTTAGATCATACTTCAGATTAATATTCCAGAAAATAATGGGGAAATAATTTAATGAGCAGCAGGCCACATATAAAGACACTGATTTCCAATGGAGGTAGACTAAAATTAGGTCATTTGCTTTGTCTTTTATTGTAAGCCACCCTAATAAATAAATTATTATTATTCTCACCCTTAAACCTTAATTGAGGTTGATATCTTTGTATACCATTTGTATATTTCTAAAACGAACTCAGCATAAAACTATTCTGTATCTGGAAATACCCACCAATACTAAATGATCTGCTTTTTCAGTAGTTTTAACATAGATTTCGCTAACAAAACCGAGGGGAATGTTACCGAGTAAATAACCAAAGGGGGCAGATGTCAATTCCAACATTAAAAAACAAAACAAAATAAAGCAACAACACAGAATGCCTTGTTGCTAATCTTCATTCTTGCAGCTGAAGTAAGAACAGAAGAGGAATATTTGCTATTAGCCTTGAGAGTTCCCAGGCTGTCCTGAAATATGAGCATAAGTTCTGTACCGTGCTTGGAAGAGTACTATAAATAAATAAGAGCAAGAAAGCTATAACCAGTGACAGGGAAAGCAATTCTCCCAGATGTCTTGGGGCAGATCCTCAGTCATAATGGAGCTTATAACAATTTGTATCAGCTGAGGCAGAAGGAAAGATCCAACCAGATCTAGGATCTAGCAACAAACATTTATTGAGAAACGGTGTGTCAATAAAGCTACTTGCAACCAGAGCCAGCCTTAAGGAAAATGGCAACCCCTACCGAGCTCCCCCACCAAGTCAGTGGCGGTGCTGCAGGCAGAGGCCGGTGGGGAGGTAAAGCAGCAGAGGGCAGGGGTGAAGGGGCTAGGGGAGTGCAGCTGCCCAGGCAGGTGGACCTGTCCCCAGTTTATCCCTGTCCCTTGCCACCATGCTGCAGCCATCCACCAGCTGTCAGCCCAGGCCACTGCTGCCTGAGTGCCCACATCAAGCTGCTGCTGAGGCCAAAAGTGATCATGACACTGCTGGCACAGCTGCACAGCCAGCCCCAGCTGGGGGGGGGGGGGGAGAAGCAGGAAGGCAAGAGGAGAGCACGGCTGACTGGGCAGGTGGCCTTGTCCCTAGTTCAGTCCCTAGCACTGCGGGCATCTCCCCAGCCCTATCATGGGGGGCAGGGAACGTGCTCCAGCAACTGCCCACACTGCCCAGCCTGGCTCATCCTAAGCAGCAGCTGCAGGTGGGGCAGGGCAGAAATCGGTGGGGTGGGATGGGGGTAGAGCACTGCCGTATGTGTGTGCAGCGCCTCCCTGACCATGACGCCTTGGGCAGTCTCCCACATCACCTACCCTCAAAGCTAACTCTGCTTGCAACTGACAAACTGCTAGATTTCAAGGGTGGAGTTGAAGTGATGTTGTAGCCATAATAATTGAGAATTTATGCAAGAGGCAAGGATTTTTGCGAGTGATATCTTTTATTGGACCAAATGCATGGCTGGGTGACAGATATCACTGTAGCTCCTGTTCTAGAAAGTGTGTCTATCCAAAAAAACGCACTATAAATGTTTGCAATCAGATTCTGGTGATTCTCAACCATTCTCACAAAGACTGGTTTAACAAGGTTGTCCTTGGGGCTACATTTTCACTTCCTTAGAATCACACAGCACACCTCCCTTCCCGCTATCCACTCGTGACTATTCTTGTGACAACTACTGCAAATGCAGGGAAATATTTAATGGGTGTTTAGCTTCAAGTTTTTTTTATGGTATTTAAATTTAGAGACAAGAAATGCCATGAGAACAGCCACCTTTCTGTTTACCACCCAGACTGTTTTGTGGACTACAAGTTGTCTGCAGAGAAGACTAAAAATGACTGACTGACATTATTTCCCTATCCAATACCTCACTTTAGTCACAGTAAGGTTCTGATTTCCCTATAATTAACATATGAAGAAAATACTTCTCAATGTGTGATAATAATGTATATTTCCAAAACAGTATCTGTTTCCTGACTTTGGTCCAGCTTCCTAAACCAACATTTCTTTAGTCTGGATTTCAAGGTAGTACAGTGTGACCATTGTCTTAGCCAAAGACTCTTACATTCCTTCTGTGGGAAATAGCACAGAAGTATCTCAAGTCACAAAAACTTGTCTCGCCAATTAAACTGCACTGTAGAATGTGTGTGTGTCTGTGTGTATGCGCACGCCCACGTGCATGTGTGAAAATGTTGAATAATCTTCTAGGTTTGTAGAGTGTATTTTCATGGTTCTTTATTACCGGTATCAACAAGTCTTCAGCTTGGCTCAGCTGGTTTACTATAATTCTTAGCCTGCATGCTTAGGATTTGCAAAGCATTATGAACCAAACATAAAAAGAATAAGTTTTAATCATCTTTATTCTCAAGCTTCCATCTCTCACATCCTTTTCTTTCTAAGATGCAGTTGTAACTATCTTTATTAGCTAATCACTGAATGACAGTATTCCAAGTGAGCAATCCGCAATACATCAGGCAAGCTTCTATTTTCATGAGGAGTAATATGAGCAAATACATTCATCTCTTCTTTCTGCGCTTGCTTCTAATAGACTATTTAATATTTTAGACACAAAATATAAATGAGTCCTCTTCTTCCATACTGAAATCACATGAATATTAAATTGTAAGTTTGCTTACAAATTTTACATAGATGATGAAAAATCTGTGACTGACTTTGAGAGAAAGATTTTAACATAAAGGGGAACACTGCAGAATATACGGTCCACAAAGCTTTGTAATATTTTTAGGTTAAACAGAAGGGTTTGATTTGAAATATAAGCAACCTTTACGTTCACGTAAAAAGTTTTGCGGCTCACAGATCCTTGTTGGTATTTATCAGCATCACTCTGTTGATTTGGATGGAGCTATATCAAGTTACATGAGCTGGCTGAGGAGCTGTAACATTTTACTGTAGATGAATTGGTCTCAGCCACATAAGTGAGAATGCATAACTGCTTGTTCTTCATTTATTCCTTTCCCACGTTATAATGGGAATGCTCTGCAATGCACAGCTTGACTATATTGCTACCTTATAGTTAGAGAAATTTGTGGGTTTAACGAACACTTATGAAATGTGTGTCCTATGTTTGGCTTTTCTTTCAAGTACTTGGGCTGATGAACTCCCAACAGCTCTGGATTCAAAAGTGAGTTCAAGAAAAAGAAAAGCAATCCTGTTTCAATATCTGGATTGGCATGGAAACCCCTCCCCCAGTAAGTATTAGGAATCAGTTTTCTAACAAACTTATTTTTTTCTAAGCATCTTTAGTATTATTTCTGCTACTCACCTTCCTTCTCCGTAGACTGGGCTGGAGTCAGAGCAATGTGATCTAAGACAGCAAGGGAAGACTTCTTATTTCATCTGTGGGGGTGGGGAGATCCATTTGCTAAGATGCAGTGCTCCTGCAGAAGGATAGCAGCCAATGAGAACCTGAAGAGGGGGTGGGGGTGGGAAGGAGGCAGCTGATTCTTGGACCTGATTTACTGGAATAAGTAGCAACGCTCACAAGGGTGCATTCATCAGTTTGCTGTGGGAGCTGCTAACTGATACACTGGTACCAGAGAAAGAAAGCTCTGTTGTAAGAAAAAGTGGATGATCAGCTTTTAAAAAAACCCAAAAAATGCCTAACAAGAATGTTCTCAATTCAAATTGTTTAAAAAAAAAAGTAAGGAGAAGGATTTAGCTAGCCATAGTAGAATGTATTTGCTGTTTGCCTGTGACAGGATGTTTAGGACTATAAGTAAAAGCATATTCCTTTTGGAATAGTTATTACTGGTTCTAACAGCAGTATTGAGTGTGTAGGCATGCTATACTATGGGACATTCTTCAGATTGAGGAGCATTAAAATTAAAATGAGATATTTTAGGGATGTCAGTGGGTTCAGATTAAGACAACAGCTGGACCTGCACCCAAAATTCAAACTCAAGCTACTTTTCTTTCTTTTTTCATTTGACAAGGTTCTATACATGTACCCATACATTCATTTGTATTTACAAACATACATATATACAAAACCATATGTACACTTCATTAATCTCTGAGCTTTCTGCTTTTGCCAGGCCAGAAAAAAATAACCCCCTGAGAAAGACTCTCTGCAGACTGATTCCATCCATCTTAGGCCGTGTCTATATGGTAAACTTTTAATGCTCTAGAGTCACACCCTCTGGCAAGCTGCACAGCAATAAGTAGGCTGTTTTCCAAACCAGAAGCAGTGAAGCCATTGCTGTAACAGTCTTTTATGAAAGTCTTTGTCAAAAAGATTTTAAATGAAAATAAATTCAAATGAGTTTGGAGAAGCATTTGGATGCCTAGGCAAATTGACCTTTGTGAGTTATTACCTCTCTCTTACTTACCATTTGCCTGTCACTAGCTTCCCTTCTTTCTTTGTCCTGTCTCCTCTCAGAACAATAACTTCAGTTAAGTACATATGCATAACTACTTTCTAGTTAAAGCATTTTACTAATTATCAGAGAAAACATACACAAAAACTGTTTTCAATGTCATGCTAGCTTGGAAGACAGTAAAAGCACCCCTTGTGAAGAACAAAGTAAACGGGTGACTGACAATTTCACTTAATCCTATATGCATGTTTTTCTCGCTCCCTTTCACTTGTGGGCTGTTAAATTTAGAACAGTCATTGCCCATTGTTACTACCCAGCTGCACAAGGGCAGGGTGCCAAGCTTCATACACTCCTACTTGCATGGCATTAGCAAAATCTCTGTCTTCCAGGGAACCAAGAAAAAAAGTGCTTTCTGGACATCTTTTCTTTATATTAAAGAGACGTCATCAACTAGAAATGGAGTCAGTTGCAAAAATTAGTTAAAAGCAGTTTCTGGCTCAACCTGTTCCCTTGAGTTTCCTTTTGTTATTCTAACTGCGAAGTGAAGAAGAATGTTCTGTTATATATGAGTTGTATGGCAGATGTTAATTGCTCTATCACTTTGACAAGAACAAACATGTTTATTACTGGGTCAGCAGGATGAGAATAGAAAGACATGGAAAACCTTAAATGCCTGCTCCTAGTCCAAGGAGAGGAGAAAGTCTGCATGGCATTGCACTTGCTTCAAACATGCATACATTCCCAAACAACATGAAAATCTCCCCCTTCACATTATCTGAGCCCCCTGAACCAAAGGGCTCATGACAGACAGTCTGGGAGATGTTTACAGTCTACTCGAAACCAATACTTAACCCCAAATCTCTCCTCTCCCCACCAATCTGCGGCACCTCCAGGTCATGTTACCTACACAACCCTGCTGTTCAAAGCTGACCAACTCTTAGAGAAGGCATGGCATTTGTTCCCCTGTTTGAATGGATCTATTGCTGTGGAGATCACCACGCCTGTCTTGAGGGTTCAGTCTATATTGTAGACCAGCCATCCTCTTTCATCCAGCTGTCTACCAAAGGGAGTGAAGAATCTTTCTGAGTGGATTATTACACATCTTTGTAGAGGAGGGATACATGTTTCCTTAAGGAAACGATACTCACGGCCCAAGGGGTGTCCATCCCGACAAGAAGCAAGGGGGGCAGGAGTGTCCGGAAGCCCCCCTGGCTCACCAAGGGCGTCCGGGACTGCCTGCTTGCCAAAAAGGCGGC